AACTGTAACAAAAGATCGTCATCACTAGGAAAAACAGTTTCTAACAAGTCAGTTTGTTTTTATCAAGAACAATTAATAGAAAGAGATGAGCTCATATGGAAGAGAACGAGGAGGACGATTCAACCATCGTCAACATCAACATCAACAACCATACCAACCAAGAGGAGGATATCCAGATCAAAGTAATGATTCAGTAATAACATGCGCATTCTACAACAAAATAGGTGCTTGTCGACACGGGGAAAAGTGTTCCAAGAAGCATATTAAACCAACCCAATCAAGAACCCTCCTACTAGCCAATCTATATCAAAATCCCAAACTCAACAAGAATGAAACTGAAGAAATCACCGAGAAGCAAATTCAGGAACAATTTGATTTATTTTATCAGGACCTATTTATTCATTTAGCCCAAATGGGTGAAGTATATGATTTGGTGGTTTGCGAAAACGAGAATAATCATTTGAATGGTAATGTCTATGTGCAATTTACATCGGACGAAGATGCATCTTTGGCCAATACGAGGTTGAATCAAGAGTGGTTTAATGGTCGACCGGTACATTCTGATTTGTCACCAGTGGCAGATTTTCATGATGCTCATTGTCGAGCTTATGACACTAATACGTGTGACAGGGGAGAAATGTGTAATTACATGCATATTAGGCATCCAACACAGAGGTTGAAGCAACAGTTGTATGAAGCTCAGGATAAGATGTATACCGCTGTCAAGTTGGAGAAATTGAAGAAAAAGTTGGATGAGTTAAATGATCAAAAGTCTACAACAGGAGGAGTGGCTGGTAGTAGTGATGTTGGCTCTGTTGCTGATAATGCAGATGCAGATGGATATGAATATGAATATAGTGGTGGTGAAACTACTAAACAAGATACTAGTAAGTTACTCAATCTGTTATTTTGAGTGTGTTATACTTACTGGTGGTAGATATAAATAGTAGAGCTATATCTTACTTTAGTTGCTACAAAGTGATATGTAGAAGTATTGTTATAAGTGGTGGTGGTGTAGATGTTGTTCTAGAATCAAAAATCTTTTTTCAATAAGAATTATGAAAATATAAAAATTAAAAAATTAAATTAAAATCTGGAGAGAGACAAAGAGAGAAAAACGAACAGACAAACTGAAAATTACTTTACACTTTCTTCTATCATTCATTTGAGTATTAAACCATCACACTTACTACTACTACTACTACTACTACTACTACTGCTACTACTATTGCTACTACTATTACTAATACTAATATTATCCAGTCACATGTGCTACATCATAACATTATACCCCCCATATTTAAAAAGATAGAAGAAAAAGTTCCCCTCCCCCCACCACCCCAAACTCTATCAATCTAATAATTTTGTTGTTTATTTTTACAAATCAAAAAACAACGAAGAACGAAACAAAAGAAATAAAATAAAAATAAAAATAAAATAAAAATAAAAAATATTTCCAAACGACGAGAGAGAGAAAGAGTAAATAAATGACAAATGTTGATAACCATTCATCAATTACAACCACTTTTCACTTCTAGATTGTATAGACATCTACTATCTACACCTCAAAAGAATAGCAACAGTTGTACTGTCAGTCTATCTCATCAATTACATATTAAAATTGGTATACCATCAACAACAACATCAACAACAACAACAACTACTACTACTACTACGAAACAACAACCACAATCATATCAACATCAATATCAACATCAACATCAGTATCAACATAAGCATAAACCATTTGTAATATCTCACCAATTTTTTTCCACTTTTCCCACACTTCATCAACAACAACAACATAAAATGTCTAATTCACCGTCCTCGGATAATGGTAATGGACAGCAGCACGTACAACACAACAATTCCCATTCCCATACACATACATCTAAGTTAGAACACCAAACAGATGTTCATTCGCATTCGCATTCGCATTTCGATTCCGATGCCGATGCCGATTCCACTTCCAATTCCAATTCCAATTCCGATTCGCACTCGCACTCACATGCAAGTGGTGCCAATCTCTTGCATCACCACCACCATTCTGCTCATGAGCCCAATGAATTTTTAGCTGCTGGCACTGCCTCTATTAAATCAAATCCCGCTGTTCGAATCACTTGGATAGGTCTTGTAGTTAATGTTGCATTGGCTATATCAAAGGGAATTGGCGGAGTAGTTTTCCACTCACAAGCATTGGTTGCTGATGCCATCCATTCAGTTAGTGATATGCTTGCTGATTTCTTGACTTTGGCCACTGTCAATGTTGCTGCGAAAGTAGGCACTCCGACCAAGTTTCCCTTTGGATATGGAAAGATTGAAACTATCGGTTCCTTTACTGTTAGTGCCATTTTATTATTTGCCGGTATCTCCGTTGGATGGTTGTCATTGTTGCAAATTTTTGAATTTGTACTTCCTACCCAAATGTATGAAATTGCCGCCAGTGTCAACATTGGACATAGTCATAGTCATGCTGACCTAGGCGGTGCATCAGCATCGCATGACCATGCACATTCCCATACTCATACCACCCACACACCCACAGGCTCAGAATTAACGACGCATCGAGAAATCCCCAATATCAATGCTGCTTGGTTAGCAGCTGGTTCAATTGTCGCCAAGGAGATTTTGTACAAAAAGACAATGCAAATTGCTGTTGAAACAAACTCAAAGGTGCTTGTAGCTAACGCTTGGCATCATCGTGTGGACTCACTTACAGCAATTGTTGCGTTGCTCACAGTTGCTGGAGGAGTTTTTTTCAATATTGCCTGGTTGGATTCTATTGGTGGAATGGGGGTCTCTGTATTAATTATCAAAGCCGGTTGGGATACTTTGAAAGAAGCATGGTATGAATTGATTGACCGAGGTGAGCAACCAGGTTCAGACTTGTATAATAAAGTGGAGAATATAATTTCTCATGAATTGGCAAGCAATGTCCAATTGAATCAATTTAAATTGAGACAATTGTCGGTGTTATCTTCAGGTGCCAATACAAATATCAATTTTGTGTTGTTGACGCAAAATAAATCGATTGATTTGTTGACTTTGAATCAGTATGAAAAGACTCTAACTGATTTAATCAAACAAGACGATAGATTTGTTCGTAATGTGTCTATTAAATTTGAAGTTGCCAATGAAGAAGAAACAATCGAGGAGAATAACGATAAAGAAAATTAATATAGATGGTGATAAAACATGTACATACTATTAGAAATACACATAGCTGTTGACTTTGTTTCTTTGTAATCGATGGATCGTTTATACTAAAAAACGTCTATTTACAATTTGTTTATATACAAAAATAATCCGGAGATTGCTTACACAATTCACCTAGTTCTCTCCCTTTACTTTTTATTCTTTTTTGATGCCTTTTTATGACCTTCAATAAAATTCAAAATCTCATCAACTGATTTATTAGCAATTGATGGATCAGGTTGTGGTGGACCCTGGGCTGACTTTTTCGAATGCCCATTTTTTGCATGCGCATGGTGATGTTTACCACCACTAACTGCGGATGCAAATTTAGCTTTCGATTGTTGTTGCTGTTGTTGTAAAACTCTATTGGCTCCCGATGACGCAGCTGCTGATTTTGCCGACTTCTTTTCTCTAGAAGCTTGCGCTTTAGTGTACTCAACATATAACGCAATATTGGCTTGGTATTTACCAACTTGTTTCGTCATTGCATCATGAGGACCAAGCAAGCGTTGGAACATGGCATAAGACACATCGAAAAACTCTTGCGATTGGGCAATGGCATTGGATGCAACGACAACATTGGCAATTCGGAAATAAATCAAGGCCGTGATTTCCGAATCTTGTCCATTGTTCAAGTCTTGACTATACTTCAATGCAAGCTGCAACAACTGCTTAGCTCCATTGTATTGTTTCACCTTCATTAATGCTTCTGAAGAATTAATCAAGGTATTGACAATGGCTGGATGGTCGACTCCATACCCCAATGACCAGGTATCAATTGCTTGTTTGTACAATTTCAAAGCATTCATTGGTTGTTCATTACCACCTTCGAAATATGCTTGATTCATATAGGCAGTGATCGTATCATGACTATCAAATCCACATGATCTTTCACACAATATAACCGCTCTACGACCAATCAATGCCGCATCATAATCCATACCTAATTCTTGGTAAACTTGTGCAAGTAATGTGTAGAATTTGGCAGTTTCGGGATTGACTTTGCCATAAATGGATTCATGAATGGCCGCCAATTCAGTAAACATAGACATACCAACTTCTTTATCGCCTGAAACTAATTGGGCTCTAGCACTAGCGAATATTTCATCAATGATGGTTGATTTATACGATGAATCTTTAATGATTGGCGTGAATGAAACAATATCATCGGCAATGAAAGTCGATTGACGCTTGATCAACTTGGAAACAAGTTGTGACTGGGGAGAATTCTTCTTTTTTGACTTCTTGGATGAAGATGAGGAGGATGAGGATGTTGACCTCCTTTCAACTACTTCAACTTCTACTTGTTCTTCAGCGACATCAAATTGCTCTTTGGTAAATGCATAATTATGCGATTTCCATTGAATACCAAATTGGAAGGCAATCTCTCGCAACAACTGTGGTTTACGAACAATATCATCGACCCAATTGTTAGGCAACTTGAATCTAAATCTGGCATAGACTTCATCAGATACTAAATTGACCACTTGTTTATGTCCAAGTTTGGTAAATGATAATTCATTATCGGAGTAGAATGAAGCAACGGAGTCATCCAAAGTAGCCGCTGGTTGCTCAGTGATAGCACCACCAAGTAAACAATTGTGGAAATGGGCCACTGCTGAGGGAACAAGATAAGTAGGGACTCCCTTTATCAATTTTCTCAAGATATGCTTAGATGCTCTGGCAATCATTTCATGAATGGCAATGGTATAAGTGGCGTTGTAATTAGCAATAGCTAACTCATAAGTTGCATTTGAATCCGTCTCTTGTTCTTCTGCGTCTTCCTCCTTCTTCTCTTCCTCCTTCTTCTCTTCCTCTTCCTTTCTCTTTTGATCTTCCTCTTCCTTAACCTTTTTAACCAACGCAACATTTTCCGAAATCAACTTCTCAATCTCCAGCTTATACTCTTTTGTCTTTGCCACCAATTGTTCAGCAATATATCCCAAATACCTCATGTTGATACCATGTCTATGCAACTGCTCAGTCAACTGTTGTCCATCAAAAGGTGGCAATTGTTGTTTCACATTATCCAAAAATTCGACAATCAACTTGTCTTTGATAAACTTGGAAACTTCCCTCACTTCATCTCTATCTTGATCCGATTCAAAAGATGTTGAAAATGCATCAGGATTGAACACAACTTGATCAGTAGGTAATGCAATTTGGGGCTTTTCTTCACCTTCCTTGTTGTCAAGTTTACCTTCTTTTTCCAATTTTTCAGTCTCAGCTTTGAAAAGGGCCGATACTTTACGTTTCCACCACTCATTAACTGCTTCATGTCTAAGCAAAGCTTCTCCGTGAGGATAAGATTGGGAATCTTCCGGATTAAAATTTGATTCAATAAATTCAATATCACGGGGAGCAGTACGATACAATTCAATAACGTATTTTCTTCCATCGGTTCCCGTTAATCCCTTGGTGTCCTTTGAAACAACCAATTTATTTTGAGATTGGATTTCGTCAGATAATTTTACCTTGTGTGGCTTCAAGTGGAAAATTTCTCCAACCTGTTTCAAAGGTTCCTCAAATGATTCATCTTCGAGAATCTTTGACCCATCAGACGAAGAACCATACTTGACTTTTTCTTGAATTTCTTCCTCTTCGCCAACTGTGGCATCCAAAATTCCAGGAACTGGTGCTTGACAAACTACTCGTTTCCCCATATAGTCAATCACACAGGTAAGTAATGTCGATAATCCTCTAACGTCATGTCTATTGATGATTTTAACACCAGCGAGATCTTTAGAAGCCACGTATCTCGAAGCTTCTTCTGCACCAGTATTTTCAAATCCATCCACAGTCGATGCTCCAGTAGAGTAGAAAACTCCATTTTTCAAATAAATATACTTGTCTTCCTCTTCAGTCGGGTTCATAGGAGCAATATCACCTTTAATAATATGCATGGCTGTTTCAGTTGCAGACTTTGTAAACTCAAACAATGTCTTTTGAATAAGCTTGTCGCGAATAATCCGTTCTTGAAAAGTCGAAGATGGAAGCTCCTTAATACTTTGGAATTCATTGTTCCATTCCTTAATAAAATCAGACCCATCGACACCATTATTGATCAATGGCAATTGAGATCTAGATACATCAGGGGTGCTTTTCAAGTTTGATTCATCCACAATCCAAGGATGGGCAAGGAATGAATTATAGGGCAAAAGATACGACTCAGGATATTCGGTTGAAGTGGTCAACTTAACCTCATTTTCAACAATAGTGGAAGCAAACAATGGTGATAACGAAGAAACCAAATCAAACAATAAGTAATTTTTGAAAAATTTACCCTTTTCGTTGATTTTGATATTGGGGTTAAAGTTAATTGTTGACGATTTGTTGACAAAAAACCCAGAAAAGTGACAAGTAATGTTGAAAGTTTCATTTTCTAATGTCTGCAAAGTCAAATACAAAAGGTCACCCTTATTATTCTGAAATATGGGCACAGGTGACCATTGGGAGATACTGAGTGATCTTATTGGTAACTTGACAACGTTGTTTACTTTGTCGAATTTGGTTTCGCTCACTAAATCTGTACCCTTTTCGACAGACAATGAATCAACAATTGTAGCCAAAAGACCTTCCTCTTCCTTGGATAATGGTGTTGACTCTTTACTCTCTGAACCCCCCTTGCTTTCACCTTGGGGTTCTTCTCTAACTTTCAATTGGTCCAACTCGATACTGTTGAACTTAGAAACACCCCCCTGAGAGCCAATATCAGTACAGACACTATCAATATAGTGTAGGCCAATAGTATCTCTGAACTTACTAATCTGTTCGTATACTGAAGCCAAATTGTACGCTTTGGCTATGATTTGCACCCGCAACTGTTCCACGTCTCCCAACTGTAACGCAACGATAATTTCGGCAAATGAAACGATTTCGCCAAGACTTTCAACATCAATACCTTGCACGTGTATTGAATAATTTGTCAAGTTTCGAGTTTTTGGTAATACCGCAAATGTTTGTCTCAAGTCGGCGACATTTTCCTCATAATGGGAGGTGATGGACAACTCTTTTTGCTCCGTATCCAAAACCAGAGGTAACTCAATTTTCAACATGAGTTCTTTTGGAGCTGTAGCTTGCTCCTCTTGGGTTTCCGAAATCTTCTCCACCTTAGACATTGTGCGAGTCCCCAATTGTAGTATCTAATGGTCGGCTATTCGGTTCAACTGAAAAATTTTTATTTTATTTTTATTTTATTTTTGTTGGCTTGTTTTTCTTGCAGCGACAATATATGAAAGAACAATTTAGTAAGATAATAGAAACTGCTTCAGGTAACACACCAAACACGTTACAACATAGTTCATGTTGGAAAGGCGTATTGCATATGCGATATATTGTTCACTATAGCGCATGGTAGGATTTAAATTTTGCCACCAACACAGCACTTCTGTGCACTGGCAAGTATTTTGCATCCAATATTTCCAAATTTAACGCTGTGGTGTCAGAGTGCAGGATGAGGAAACTATAGCAGAGCATTAAACCTCAACAGAGCATTAAACCCCAATAGAGCATTAAACCCCAACAGAGATAATAACCTTTCAGTCAAGTCGCTACTGATTCTAAAAAGGTTGAACTCGATTTAACGCGATGGCCTCACTAACAAGCCTTCCATATGAGGCACTAAAAGAAGTATTCAACCATATTAATCAACACCAAGCTTTGGCGCTTGCTCCATTACATTCCAAGTTTTACTTCATTGCAAAGTCCAAGTTGTACAGAAATATTTATGTGTATTACCCCCAGCCCTTGAGGAAAGAGCTAATCAACCCCAATGGCTTGAAAGTGAAGTTTCATTACCCCAAGAACATCAACAATCGCAAAAGCAACATGTGTACTATCATATCATTTGACACCTTTGAAAGGTATTTTGAGAAAATGGATGCAACTCAGGTGATTGACCGTCTAGAAGTAGACGGCCATGATATGCGTGTCATCAAATCTGCTTTAAAACATTTCATGGCCATTAAATCCTTAGAGATCATTAGATCCAGACACCGTGCCTTAGTTCGTGAAGATGTCAGCGATAACATTCTCGAATGGTTGGAAACTTACCATCGTGATACAGTATTTGTATCACCGCTAAATGAGAATTGTCTTGATCACACCAAACTTGATAATCCGAAAGTGCTTAAACTTTCTCTCGGAGGTGGTTTCAAGTCACTAGAAGTTCTTAATCAATTCGATAGCTTGATCGAGCTAACCCTTTACATTTATATCAATCATAAGTACAGAAGTCTCCTCTTTACTTTCAAGTTACACGTGTTGCGAATCCACAGTTATTATACCTGGCACACGACATTAAAATACCCGTTGAGCAAAGTTTTCGATACTGCTTGCCTTCGGGAGTTGTCAATACATGGCGACTTCTGTCCAATAATGTTGTTTACCAATCGTCGCTTAGAAGAAGAGTATCCTAAATTGGTAGTGTTATGCTTACGATTTGCTGGCGACACTTATGCACCTTCTGGTATTGAGAGTCTTAAATACTTCAGCCATGATAAATTAAGAGCTCTCGTCATTTCAACCCGGACTAGTCTTGAGCATGAAGCAAGAGCTATATGTGAATTGTATCCCCAATACCCCAACAGTAGCATTAACTGGTGGTGTGAGACATCTGCATTTCTCGACAATGCCTTTATTTCTCATAACATGAGCCTTTTCAGTCCTAATCTTCCATATGGGGTCGTTGGCTATCATTTTCCCCATGTGAGTCTCGAAAATGCGCCAGAATTCAAGTATATTGGTAATCGCGGAGTGCCAAATGAGGTAAGAACTGGGCTCAAAAGGTGGTATACGCGGGCTGAATTGTATGCTCTTTACGATTTGTGGTGCCTTACCTGGGAAGAAGAATTTGATATACCTCCACTTGACTCTTGAGATGGCTTTGTTTTTGTATCTCTTTTATGATCCTGCGAGTGGATTTAGGAAACAGAGTGGTGTGTTTTATAAGATATAGGAAGGTGGTGATTGCCGTGATGAGGTGGCAGTAGTCTTGATGGTGTAATGGCGATAGTGCTGACTTTTGTGTGCTCGAAATGGCATCAGGTCAATTTTTTTTTATTGGGGGATAGTTTGTTTTTGCAACATGTTTTACTGAGAAAGAATTCGATACACCACTCACTGACTGATTTACTTGTTACACACTTAAATACGAAATGCTGTTTACTACCTCGCCGTACTCTCCTCACATAGCAAGGGACTTGTTGTTCGAAAGTCTTGGCGTTGATACTGTTGTTAAAGTTTTTGCCAAATCATTGGAGAATTCATCAAAAGTTAATGAGAATTTAAGGATTGTACAGAAGAAATATGCAGATATGGTTCATGATAAACCTGCGGTAACAGATAAATACATAGTTGACCGATTAAGAGAAATGTATTCTTTAGATATGGAAAGACTAGTCCAAACGGAGGTTGCCAACGTTGTCAAAATTACTAGGAGCATATCAAACTTGTTAAGCTTTCACAAACCACCAATGCAAGGTTGTCTATGTCAAGACACTAAAACTATCGTAAGGAAATTGTGCATGGACCTAGACAATTATTGCTGCTCAAGATGGAAAGAAAAGTCGTCGTATATAGATTCATTTGGCAACTTCGTCCACATTTCCCTCGTGTTTTTTGTGTCTCACAATTTAATTGGAGTTGCATCTAGAGGAACATCCACAACTAGAACCAACAGACACATATTCAACTTCATAGCGGCAGATCACATGATCGTGTCAGAGAGGAAGGAAGAAAAGTTTAACTCTTCTGATTTAATGTTGATTCCTATAAAACAATTCTGTGTGCGTACATTGCTGCTCGGGCGTTTCCTGTTTCCGCGAGCTGATTTTAGTGCTAGTGTTGAAATCGTT